TTGTTCAGCACACTCTTACAGTGTCTTCAATGATCACTAGAATTAAACTTGTGACAGGTTATGGTGTCACATTCTATCAGCGAATAGCGACTTTGCCTCTCTGAGGACACGCTTACCCTCATTGCGAATGGATACGAAGAAGTTGCTGTCATGGGCGTAACTCTCGCGTTGTTTTAGCCAAAAAGAAGTTCCTTTGGGCTATAGCACCTGACCTGGCAAGATTGAAGGAAGGAGAGCTGTGTTGTTTCACTTGTTATTTCCGTGATGACACGAAAGCCTCGAACATGAATTTCATCCAGGAAGAGATTTCAATGACACAACCATGAAAAAGCATTCGATGACATAATATATCTGTGTCGCCATAATGTAAGTATATTTTTAAAAACAAATTTCAATGATAAAAACAATATTTTAAGGCTTGGGTTTCTCTAGACGAACCCTCGATATGTTAAATGCTATCATTAAATTTGTCTATAAGGCTTTAGATAAAGACGTCAAGGCTCAAGCTATGGCTTTAGATATCTCAAAGTCGTACAACAAATTTTAGTATGCTGCCCTTCCCCGAACGCTCAAGGGCTACGTTGTATATGACAAGATATTTGACTTAATCCAATCGTTATTAACAAATCGTGTAATGAAGGCTTTAGATAAGAGCGGTAAGGCTTAATCTGTGAATTTAGATATCTCAAAGGCGTACGACAAAGTTTAACATGCTGGGCTTCCTCGAACGCTCAAGGGCTACGGTCTATAAAGACAAGCGATTTGATTAATCCAATGATTATTAACAAATCGTGTAATGAACTTCATAAGAAACACATAGGCTTCTAGATCACATTAATGTATAACTTATCCAGTGTTCTATTCTTGGTCCTACATAATATTATTTTCATCAACAACCTTCTTGATATCTTTAAATCTGTTGTAGCTTACCTATGGACGATAATGTGTATGTCCTCATTCACAGAAATACAGTAGTAAATACTGTATGTTGGTCAACAGCTAGAGATTCGTCTCCAGCTGTGCTGGTCAAGCTCTCTGCCTCCGAGAAGAGAGGATCCCCAGATGAGCCTATGTCGAAGGGCAGAGTCTCGTCTCGGGAAATAGATAACCGACCCCATTTTACATGGGGTCTACGGATAATTTTTGGCCGAGCCTAAGACCCCGGATACCCCGCATTAAATTCGGCCTTTTGACACATCTGATCGCGTGGAGCGGTTGGTAGATACCCTGCAGGTGGAGATTCATTGTGGATTTCACTTGACTCACTTCTAGCTGTTGGCTTCTTCTTCGCCGCTGTTGAATCTTTATATGTGTTGTTAGTGTCCTATGTATTATCGTCCATTACCAACCTTCGTGTGATTATTCTATTCATTAACCTTCCCTAGGTTACAGCAAATTCCCAACTGGGTATTCATGGGGACGACACAGATATTTCATCCTGTCTTAATAGTCGTGGCCTGGAAGAAGAATTTATGTGTTAATTTAAATTCCACAAAAGTGAAACTGATATCTTTTAATCATCAGAGAGAACCATTTTTTCCCTACATCTTTATGACGATATTCAGTCACCCCCCCCACGAGCCTCCTTCGGGTTCCTCCCGTCCGTAGGAAGTCGCTCAGAAAGTACTGGGTCGACTGTATGACAGATGCTACCCTCCATGAGAGACATACATAGCATTTATTCTTACGTTTTCTATTGACCTGAGATTAGTAATAGACTGCTATATCTGCTGCTAAGTAGGCTAGTTAACACTATCGTACTAGACATTTTTTCTCGCCAGCATCCATGTAGATCATTTCTTTAATCTACTATTCGTCTGTGCTTTACGTATTACTACCATATCTGGTCTAGTAGTCTGGCTATGTATCTCGAGATTTTCGATAAAATACAAGGAAGGATCAGTAATGTTATCCCTCCTGACCTGGTTTTGTAATGCCAAAGAATACTCGCTGTCACATTCGTAATGCTCGTTGTAGGAGAGACTTTTTAATCGCAGATACAACTATAGTAATGCTGTTGAACAATACTGGTATCAGACGCCTTCGAATAAGTCTCGCACTAAAAGTACTCGCTCGATATTACTCACTCGAATAGTAGTCCGTATTGTGATCCGAAGTGTAGAAATAGCGATCCATATATTAAAAAACGATAAAATAGAATGGCGGTCATTTAGAGGTCACCTGACAAACTGCTGACTTAGCTGGCGACTGTCTGTTATTTCAAACGTGTAAGGCACCGATTTGGAAGCCAGTCCCCTAGGTAATACCGAACAATTATGATATACTAACAGGGGACCCAATTATGCTGAATCCAGGAGCATATATATATATATATATATATATATATATATATATATATATATATATATATATAACGAATCAACGGGAAGTGGAACTCCGATCGAAAATTCCGAGCTATTATCCATTACTCCACCCTCATACCCAATCTTACAGCAAGTGGTATTCACACGCGTTTATCCATGTAGGTTGTCACCAGGCTTGAAGTTGTTTAACTTCGGTGATCGTATGGGAAGTAGTGTTTAAGCGCGATGTGGCCTTGAGAAAGAAGAAGAAGAGCAAGAAGAAAAGAAGAAAAAGATTTATTGTAATTAGAGGAAAAAGTACACTTATCCTAAGAATCAGAAAATAAACATTGAATTTCTAGGGTACTCTATGGTCACGTTGTCTACTTAATTCAATAATGGGATAGCCTGGGTTTACACACTGGCAATCTATGTTCAAACTCTGTCGGCAGTGACACTTTATTCCTATATAACAGCTGGCATCCCGACTTCAGTCACACACCCATCACTGTAACTTTATTCCTCACTTTCTTTTCTATAACAATTTCCATGTCAGTTCTAATGAGTTCTCCTCCCTGGTACGAGGACTTCGTGAATTTAATCTTACTACTAGAGTAGCTAATAGATCTTATCGTGTTACTGCTGAAATAGCTTCATGTTACCATTTCTGTTCTAATATCTTAAATTCTCGCATATCTCATCTCTGTTCTGATTTCTTGCTTCGTTACAACGTAGTCTTCAAAAATTTAGCAGCAACAAAAAATCGCTATCCTTTACCATCTTGAATCCTTTTCTTTAATATTTATCCACATTCAAAACTTCTCATTCTCTTCCGCCCTTTATAAACTTTTGCGTCATATTCACCTTGATTTGGGTTGAAACGCTTAAAAAATTATCAATGAACTTTTTCACATTACCAAGAGCAATATTCATTTTAAATGGCCATCAGTATTCCTGCACAGCTCACGTAATTCAGTAGAATTTCGAAACATATGTTGTAGTTCATTTGTGATGTTATATTATCTGCATCATTTCGCATATGCTTAAGTCAATTCTCCAGAGTAGTAATCCTTCTTCGCTGTAATTAAAATTTGATACAGATCCAAACAGATTAACCCCAAAGTACTAAATCTGCTGATTTAGCTGGCGACGGTCTGTTATTTCAAAAGTCTGTCGCCGATTTAGAAGCCATTTACTTAGGTAATACTGAACAATTGTGACATACTAACAGGGGACCCACTTGTGCTTAATCACGACAAGAATAATAACACTAGCTTCATGCATTCGCTAAAACCTGTTAAGATATATCGTCCCTGCAATGGCATTAGAGCAGCAAGAATTCTTTGAAAATGCTAAGCAAAGTATGAAGAAAAGTGAAAAATTATTTAGAAACAACGAAAAGAGTACTGGTATGTAATATCAATTCTCCTATATGGTGGTGGATGCTGGACAGTCTCCTCACAGATGAAGAAAGGACCTGAGCAAATTTAAATGCGGTTCTAAGAAGACTGCTGAGAATACCATGGAATGAACATAAACGTAACGATGAAGTTTTCGGAATATTATATGAAAAATCAGAAAGTGAAAATTACATTCTGGCTGCGAATCATGAGTAAAGAGGATTTGGAGAATAAGACAACCAGAAGACATAATGAGGGTAGAAGAAGCAGAGGAAGGCAGAGAAGAATCTATCTGAAAACACTGTGGAATTGGTTGGCAGAACAGGATTTATGAGAGAGAGAGAGAGAGAGTAATAAGACAAAACTTACTACGATTTATCAACCCTATTCTCTACGACCTATCAACCATTTTCCTTTTTTTTTTAAACCTGAAGATATTTTTAGATTGTATGAATTAAAAAAACAGTTTCGTTGATTAAGCCGTAGATAGGAGGAGAAGAAGTGAATTCATACCTTTTGCAAGATCATTTGCGCTTAAGTGACTATAACAAAACCAACGCGAAGTAGAAACTACCGCGCCATTATCCATTACAACACCCGCACATCCAGTCTTACAGCACGCGTTTACCCATCTAGGTGGTGACTAGGCTCGATGTTGTTTAACTTCGGTGATCGTATGGGAAGCAGTGTTTAAGCGCGTTGTGGTTTTGAAGAAGAAGAAGTTTTACTGTAATTATAGGGAAAATACACTTATCCTTGTTAACCATGTTTGCCGTAGTCTTTGAATATAGAATCCAGTGAAGTACGTAATATGTTCAATATCAGAGGTTGGCAGTGAAGATTCGGAGAAATTAACAGCTGTAAAGTAATTCTTTAAGTCTTCGATATCAGAGGTTGGCAGTGAAGATATTTTGGGAGAAAAAACAAAATGGCTGCCTTTATACACGTCGGATTGAATATTTTGAGCTTTCTGATTGGTTAACACTTTTCTTGGTGGACTATAAAATGAGTCAGCTCATTTCGGTTTTCTCACTCGTATATACATATATCCAAAAAACTGTAACAATCCTAAGAAAGGGAAAATAAATATTTAATTCCTAGGGTACTTAATGAGGAAATTGTACCTGGGAATTTTGCACTCACACAATATGCTGAAGGCAAGTGAAACAGAAGAAAACAGACAATAGTAATCTACGATCTTATTTATTTGGTTGACAAAACAGGGATTAAAAGACATAGTAAAAATATAAAGAATACTATAAAAAAATGGAGGTTGTACAGAGTCTCGATCGCTTACATCGTAACGGAATGCGTCGAATAGAAGAAGAAGAGGAAGATGAGCAACAACAACAAAAAAAGAAGAACAATAAAAGAACAACAACTTGTAGCGGAAGAAAATAACAGCAGTAACAAGTGCAACATGATGAAGAAGAAGAAGAAAAACATCAACAAAAAGAACAAGAAGACCAAAATAACAACATGAAGAAGGAGAAAATAACAGCGACAACAACAAATATAACAAAATGAAGAACAGAAGAAGAAAACAAAATGAACAAGAACAATAAAACAACATGAAGAAGAAGAGGAAATTAACAGCAACAACCACAAGTGCAAGAAGGTGAAGAAGAAAAGAAAAATAAGAAGAACAACAAATAGAACAAGACTAAAAGAACAACAGTAGCAACTTTAATACTGATAATGAATAAAGTAACGGTAATCTACGATCTAGCAATTGTCTAATTAACAGAGCGTATATGAAATTTGACAGATAGGGTATCATCATGATTTCTCATAGTTTTCTTTCAAAATGATGCCTTTAAACTTGGGTTTTGCAGAGTTAACCATGCTCTTCAAACATTATTAGTTACTAAACTTATTCTCTCCCTTTTCTTTTCTCTCTCCGGGTTGCGATGGCGCAGATAGCTGTGAATCAAAAAGAATTTGACGAGTCTTTGTCTTACGGTCAAATCACGCTGAAACACCGGTTCTCGTACGATCACCGAAGTTAAGCAGCGTAGAGCCAGGTCAGTACTAAGATGGGGACCGCTTGGGAACACCTGGTACTTTAAGCCCCCAAAGTCCAACCCTTATCTCACAGTCGGTGGGGGGGTGTAAACGGTAGTGTCAGAGCTATGCCGCCCGGAACTTCGTTCCTGATAGGGCCACCCAAGGCGGACAGGTCTGACACACACGCCGGCTAACAAGGGCTCTGGTGAAAATCCAAGGAGCGTCTGCATCGGTAACCGGCGGCTTCTGGTCGTTCCTGTCTCTGCGTCTGTGGGAACCCCGCGGCAAGCAAGAAAGTTATCCGAGTAGGCCTGGGTACCCTACTTCTGTAATTTATCCCAAGAATCTTCTCATAACAGGAAGAAGCCGGCTCAATCCGCCCAGGGTGAATGCTGCATCAGTACAGTAGTAGTAATTTGACGAGGCCTTATGCGTGAATTTGATTTTGCTGGACAACACTACGCAAATGAGAAGCCCACACACGTTGACAGAAGCGCCTCCCTGCCGGCTCAATGGGGATTGAGACAGTCGAGTTATGGCAAACCTAGTTGAATCAGGCTATCGGGGGCTTGGTCTGTCAAGATCTGCTTTGGTTACACCAGCCCAACTTCCGCTACCCTCTTTCACCGTTTTGGTCTTTGAGATCGTGTATCTCTTTGACTATTCCATCGTCAGCGTCTTCAAGGGTTGTTTGCGTTCAGTCTAGTCATTCCTCTTCAAACTTAAAGCCATGGTTTGTACTACAGGTGTTGCAACTCCAGAAGGCTTCTCTCCTGGGATCAGTGGAACAATTAAGCCCTCAACCATGACAAGGCACGACAATGTATATTTTACACTTGAGTAAATATTTGAAAGATAAATAATAAAAGAATTTCACTACTAACAATAATTAACGTTACAACTTGAAACGCTTTTCCTTCAAACGTGAAAATACGTCCTCGTCCATAAAAAATGTTACGTTACTACAAGAAAAGGATAGGAAAATAAAAGTAATGTTAAATGTTGTTAAATGCTTAAATGATAAACGATGCGTAAGGATATCAACGATGCGGAAACAATCGTCAATGATAAACAAAACAAACATTACGATTCGAAATTCATTTCCTACATTTTCGAGAATGTCTTCGTCTTTCATAAAAAATGGAATGTTATGCTTAAATATAAATATAGAATTATTCAGGCCAGTGTATAAGTAATCTAACAAATACAATGATTAAATGTTCGTAATATAACAATTCCTAGTGATGATAAACTTTCTTATTAAAGTAATTAAACTTGCTAAAATTGTATTTTAAAAATTAAAGAGAAAAAAGCAATACAGTGTATACATCGATTTAAAAGAATATGTATTTAATACTTAACTACTGTAAATGCATAATAATATAACAAATTATTAAATAATAAACACAGAAAAATATAAGAATAAAAAATAGATAGTTAAAGACTTCCTTTCTTACAAAAAACATCGCTTTATTTGAGCAATAGAAAAAAACGTCCGTTTATTTTATATAATTCCACTGTATTTAATTAGAATAAGTGTAGGGTTGAAGGATTCCTTGCATGTAACCGGATGTGTCTATACAATATCTTGTTAATATAACGATAACTAATTTCAGTAAAAAGTTCGATATCTGTCGTTTATATTCACTGATGTATTTGAACTAAGCCCGGTTTCATTTTATGTGGATAACATCAAAAAACTACATTTGCATGGGAAACATATTGTAATATTTTGTGATATCTGCTACGAACAAAAGGTCTCTGCTCAGATAAAAATATAAAAACCAGGATGTAAGAGAAGGATGTGTCTTTCTACAAGATTTGTTCAAAATACCCAGCATGACACGGAGTTAGAAAATCTTTATAATGTTTATCAGTGAACGTAATTTGAACATGAGATAAGCAGATAAGACTGTGTTGATGGCAGAAACAGCAAATTGAAAAAACACTTATACAGGTTAGTTATAGTAAATAAGATAAGATTAACTTTTATCTCAAAGAATGTAGAGTGCATGGCAATCATGATCAGCGACATCCCAATGTGTAATCTACGTACAGATAACATCAAAATCAAACAGGCAAAAAGATATAACTATTTCTGTATTTCCGTAACAGTCATGCAAATGCATACAGGAATCGATAAATATGCCTTCCAGAAATAAACCATGTTAAAACGTGTCAAAAGGATGGTTGTTCCCTTGACGGCGCTATTATTTTAACTACCTTCACTCCGGTATTGTTTATTGTTTTAAAAGTGATTATTCAAATTGTAATAAAACATTAAACATAATGTAAAATAGTTGATACATTTTTTGACGATTTAGAGGAAAAATATTAAACACTATTTATTTATCAGATGATATATTTACACAAAAAATGTTATATAACCGAGAGATAATTAATGGCAGCACAAAAAGCATGGGTGAGAAAAGAATATCTGAATAAAGAAACATTCTAAAAACTAATTCAATTATATTAAAACGAATGCAATGGACTATTTATGATTTAACAGTTTATAAAGAAATAAATTTAAAAAAAAAAATTCATTCATAAATTTATAATTATTTCGTAAATAATTAAAATATGGGAATCAACTATAAGGAAATCCTTATTATTTATCATTTTATGAAGTTCGAAGCGATTTTCAAATAGGCTACCATTCAAATACACACTATAATAAATACATATTATAAATAAAAAGTATAACAATTAAATAGTATTTTTTTGGTTTGTTTTTATTTTTTTTTGTTATGGATTCTCAAGAACAAAGAAAATGCATAAATTTAATTCCAAATGTTTAGGTTTCATTACAATTCTAATCATCACTTTTTAAACCAATAAAATTCCCGAGAAGTGAACGCTGTTAAAATAATAGCGGTGGAAAGTGAAAAACCTTACTTTTCACGAACCATTTTATCGCGGGAAAGAAGGTTAAAGATTACTGATTCCAAAGTAAATAGCAGTTTCTTTTCCTTCGAACACAATTATCCATTTTTACTTAGCGAAATCATTAATCTAACCATTACCTTAGCTGCTTTTTTCTTTCGAATTTTTCATTTAGCTTCATTATAGAATAGGTACTCATATTGGATTCTAACGAAATGGGCGGGGGATTTAATGTGTCAAGTAATCCTTTATTCAAAAATATCCTACTTAAAAGACTTCGTATCGCTTCATTCACCTTTGAAATTTTTGAATGATTTATTCAATAGCTTATAACAAATCACGTACCAGAGAAATTGGATAGTTTCTTTTTGGTCAGTGTTTTATTTTATAATAATATATCTTAACTGAAAAGAAAGGTTTGTGATACGGCATAACATATGGAAAAAGTAGTTCCTCATCGTAGATAAAAGCTTAACAAATTCATCTGACTCACAATAGCCTCACAACAGTTAATTTCAGGCTGAAAGACAGATTCTCGTACGATAACCGAAGTTAAGCAACATCGAGCATGCTCAGTTCCTAGTTGGTGACCGTTTGGGGTTATCAAGTGCTGTAAGCTTGGAGGTGCGACTGGTGTAATTGACAATTGCTCGGAATTGCTAATCAGAGAGCCGAGTTCCAATTCCTGTTGGGTTCGTTATATTCACTTACGCGTAAATACCATTGGGAATGGTATTAATCTAATTCTACTCCCCCATCTATGAGTTAAGGATTGTATCACTAAAAGTACAGTGTAGTAATGTATAGAGCTCGGATTGCGGAATCAGAAAGCCGAGTTCGAATTCCAGTTGAATCCATTATGTGCTAATATCCTTGGAAAAGTTATGATCCCTCTTCTTCTCTACTCAGCTATGGGTAAGTAACAGGACAGGCCGGGTTCTATAGCCTTGGAAGGCAACTGGTCTATCAGAGAAAGAAATGAAAACCTTACTCCGAAAAAAAAAACAACTGCCTCGTCAGTGATGTATTATTTGATGGAAAGAAACATGATCACCCAAACTTGTATCAAGTATGGCACAAAACTGACTGATTTATAGACCATTATTATCTAAAAATACATTCTCATAATCTAAAAATATTTTCTTTAAATAACCCGTAAATGGTTGACAAGTCGTAAAAAGATATCAATCAGCCAGGTAATGAATTAAGCTAAATTGAGGAATTACATATAGCATTAAATTTACCGTACATAAAATGATTACTGTCTCATCAGGAGAAGCAATGTTATGAAAAAAAAACAACATTTAACAATAGCCATATTTATTCTATGACTCAGCCAATACAATACTCAAGAGCCACTGATGATAGAGAATTACCACTGAATGCTATTGTTTTATGGACGTACGAACTGGCGATTACGAGGATATTAAGGATAGATAACTGTTTTCTCTAGACATGATGAGCTTAAAATTGTTGTTAGCGGAAGCATACTATCGGGTAATTCCATAAAGTAATGGTTTTTAGGGATAAAGGAATTTCTTTCTTTACCAAAGGAATAGAAAAAGAATGAAAATGCTTCGCCCCCGTGTACATAGCATTGTTAGTCTAAATAGAGAATGTAGCTCGTCGGAAGATTCTCTAAGCAAATATAGGGAGAATATACTAAGAGAGATAGGCTTGCGACGCTACGACTGATGCTTTTAGGCTAGAAAATAATTCATTACCTTCAGGACGGTATAAACACATTTGAAAAGAGATCTGGGAGCTTCAACTTACAGCACCCTATTTTTGGTCCGATCTGACTCTTGCAAATTTAGTGCATGTCAGGTGGAGTTATAGTTCCTTTCTGGGAGAGCATAGAGAACCGGCCAATTTTCCATCATCATTGATGATGTATCAT